AATCAAGAGTGACCTCATATAAAAATGAGGTCAACAATACCTTAATAGTGTTAATTGCTAAAGTGAAGAATCCCTTGCTTCCATCCAACTATCGTCTTATTAGCCTTTGCCAGACCAATTACAAGATTGTAGCCACAATGCTAGTGAACAGATTGAAGATTTGTATGCCCAAGCTGATTACTGAGGAGCAAATGGCTTTTATCCCTGGTAGATCTATTTCAGAGCATCGTCTTTTGGCTCAGGAGATTTTTCACAAGTTCAAAGTTTCCAGAAATAAGAAGGGGATGATGGCTTTGAAGTTGGATATGGAGCAAGCATACGATAGTATGAGGTGGCCAACTCTTGAAAATGTTCTCAAATGGTACGACTTCCCTTCTATTTTTGCTAATCTTATTATGGAATGTATTGTTGATGTGAGGTTTTCTATTATCATTAATGGGAGGAATTCCAAGTGGATCATGGCTCATAGTGGCTTCCGTCAAGGATGTACACTATCCCTGTATCTTTACATCATGTGCTCTCAATTGATGTCTAATTCCATTTATCAATGGGGCCATAATATTGGCATCCAAATCTCCCCAAGAGGACCTAGAATTACTCACCTTTTGTATGCCGATGACGTACTTATCTTCTCGCATGTCTCCAAGGAAATAGCAAAGGAGGTGAAGGGTATTGTTGAAGACTTTTGTAATTGGATAGGGAAAAGGGTCAATGTTAACAAATCTCAAATTATTTTCGGCCATAGTGTTAATAATCCTATGAGAAAGAAGATTGCTAAAGTGTTGGGCTTCAAAGTTGTCAAGGAAATGAATTATCTTGGGATAAAGATATCCCTTAACCGGCTAAGGGCTGCTGAGATTCAGGATATTTTAATCAATATGATGGATAGGCTTAATGTTTGGGGGAAGATGTTTCTTTCCATGGGTGGTAAGATTACTCTTATCACTAGCTCTCTTTTGTCTATTCAAATTCTTAGTTACACACTCCTTGATCCCTAAGAAAGTGTTGCTTACAATGGAAAAACTTTGTAGAATTTTTATTTGGAATAAACCTGATGGCAGCCATAGTATTCACTACGTTGCTTGGGATGATCTTTGCAAGCCAAGAAGTATGGGAGGTTTGGGTTTGCAATCTCCTGTTCTGAAAGCTGGGCCGTTGAGAGCGAATTTGGCGTGGAACTTTCTTCAAAAACCTGATACCCTATTTCATAGAGCAATGAAAGACAAATATGGGAAGAGTATCATGAATGGTACTCATAATAAGGTCAATTCTAAGGCTTGGCATATTTTATTAGATGGTGGAAAGCACCTTAAAAATATTACTAGATGGAATGTAGGCAATGGAGAGGAGATCAACGTGCTGAATGATGTCTGGATTATAGATAGACGGATAAACCAGTGGCCTACCTTTGCTGATTGTGTTGCCTTGGAGGGAATCTGCGTTCAGCAGCTGATGTTGGAGAATGGCCAGTGGAATTTTTCGTTGCTTCAGGAGGTGTTTCATCCGGAACTTGTTATGGTGATCAGCCTTATTCAGACTGATTCCAGCATGGAAGATTGGCTGGAATTGCATTTTTTTTTGTTCCGGTAGAACGGTATCTGCCATGGCCTTTGATCATGTGGTAAGAGGCAGGTTCAATATAAGAGATGATGATTATTGTAAGTGGCTTAATAAACTCAAGTTAAGCAAGAAGGTGGAGATGTTCTGGTTGAGACTTGGGAAATCTACTATTCCTACCAACCTCTTCCTTAAGAACCGTAAGCTCTCGGGCAATGATTTCTGTGCTAGAGGTTGTCAAATGGTGGAGAGCTATGAACATATTATTGTTCAATGTAAGTATTTGATTGAAATCATTATGCAGATTGTAAGTTGGGGTATCTCCATTCCTGTTTTTCACTCCTTGGACCATTGTTTCAAAGAGCTTAAGAGAATTTCAGCAAATAATCTGGGCAGTGTGCAAATTTATTGTACCATTGTTTACTTCTCTTGGAAAAATAGGAATGAGGTTAAGCAAGGCAAAGCTGCACTTCCTTGCTATGTGGTTGCAGCTAATGCTCTCTCCATGGCCATTACCAAGACTAGTCCGTCTCTTTCTAACTGGGGCACTAACCTCCTTAGGGAGTCTCAAATCTCTTTGTGCCCTCCACCGAAAGACTGGATGAAAATTAATGTTGATGCTTCCTTAACTAGTTCTGGTAATGCCGGAATTGGTGGTGTTTTCAGGGATTGCAAGGGAAGATTCATCCTTGCGTTTGGGAAGAAGATGGTTCATTGGGACATAGCACAGCTTGAATTGGGAGCTATTCTCTCGGTCAAGGAGTATGTTAAAAGCTGGATGCGAGATTATAAAGGGGTGATTGTGGAGAGTGATAACATCAATGTTATTACATACATCCAAAATTGTTTAAAGCAGAATAAGGGCTTATGGACTTCAGCTTTGTAAGAGATTCCTTATTTGTGAATGATTTCAATAAAACTATTTTTTTACATGCCTATAGGAAATGTAATAAGGTAGCCAACTTGTGTGCTACTTTAGCATTAGAGAATAGTTTTTACTTTGATAGTTTCTCTTTTGGTGATATTCCTCCCTTGATGGCTAATTTAATCAAGGAGGAGTGTCATTCTTTTGATGTTTGTGATTAGTCCTTTTTCTCCTTAATGCATATTGCACTTCTTCAAAAAAAAAAAAAAAAAAAAAAAAAAAAAGAATAGGCTTTTAAGAGATCCCTCATAATAACTCTTACCTCTCTCACCTTCTCTTCCTTAATAAATATAATGAATCTCTTCAAAACTCTCTCTCAATTCTCTCGGTTCCACCCAAGATAGATTGTGATGTCTAAAGATTTATTTTAAAAGACCATATAAGACTATTTATATTAACCTCTTAATCATACCCTAAAAATCCTGATCTATGGATTGTACAGTACAATATGAATAAAGTTATTGACATATGGTATCAATTCATCATGTCTAATTGAGGTTCGTCTAAACAAGCTCTCTATTTTATCAAATTATGTGCTAAAAATTGTATAAAATGATTGATAAGTGTTAATCATGATAGGTTTTATGTGTTAATTTGGAAGTGAAAATACATTGTTTTAATTATTTGTGTAGGAAAATATAAGAAATGAGCAAAAATTTTAAGTATGGCACATTACCCAGTGTCAGACACAATATCATTGCATCACCATCATTGACACCACCGGAGTGACCAAATATGAACATGGTAGCTCCCAGTCTTTGTTGACATTATCACAGTGTCAGAGGAGTCAACACAATAAAGCCCAATTTCTATTTGACCGCGCCGCAATATCAAAGGAGACAATGCCAAAAAGCCTAGTCTCTGTATACATAGCGCAACAGCCACAAATTCCAACACTACCAAGTCAAGTGGAGTGCCACATGGATGCTACATAGCTCAATCGTCAGTAGTGCCATGGAATTATAGTGAAAATAGTTCATCCATGATCTATTAGTAAAGTGGCACATCAATTCATTAAACATTGATTCCATGTCAGTATATACCGTAACGGATGAAACCCTTTAGCATTGTGGCATTATTTCATTTTATGGGTGCCATGGTATAAGTGTCTCGAGCACCATGATGCTAGAATCTATTTTATATATTTTTTTATAAATAGTCCATTGAAAGAGCAAGACTTCCTTCTTTTGTTCGCTTCTCCCTTCCCACGCAAAATAAAAAACACTCTTCCTCCCGTGAAAGCCTCTGTCATAAGCATCCCAATGCTAAATCTAGTCGTAGAAATATTTATTTTTGTTTGATGCCTCATCCAAACTCCGACCTACTGCTTGTAGTCGAAGCCTGAATCTCTCTATTCTCTCAATATCTACAGATATAATAATTGTCTGAAGCTCCAAACCAACAACTCCACTACCTCTTCTTTCCATCATCCTCCGATCACTAACCCTACCCAATCTCATTCCTTTGTCAAACTACTCTACTCAAAGTCCACCTCAAACACCTTCCAAGCATTACCAAACAGTCACTCAACCCTAATTTTATCCCACTTCATCAATACAGCTTACAAAAATACTTCAAAAGGATAGGTATAAGATTGTGTTTATTATTATTATTATTATTATTATTAGTCATGCATCATTGTTGATTAATAGAATTAGTTTCTAATGCATAGTGATAGTGATAATTATCATTATCATCATTAATAATAATCATCACTAATGTTATAAGTGAAGTTTATCATTAATACTATTGATATTTATTACTATTAATTACAATAATAAATTGTTGTTAATATTATAATTATTATTATTATTATTACAATGATATTATTGATATTTAAAAAAATGAAAAAAGAGAGATTTAAAAAAACAATGAAATTTATGCATTTTGTAAATCTGAGAGCCCATCTTTAATGCTTGCAACGCGACAAAATGACCACCTATACATGCTTTTGTTAGCGTGGTGGGAGGAAGTGCATCGCGGTTCTAGCGAAGAAGTGGGTGATTCAAAAGTATTATTTTAGCATTCGCGGCATATCGAAAAGTCTCCTATACATGTTTTTATTAGCATGATAAGATGGGAACCCAGTACGATGCCTATGGTGAAGCGGGCTTACTT